CCATATACCTACAAGGAAGACCAGTTAATATGACTATTATTCAAACTTACACACCAACCACTAAGGCCAAAGATGAAGAAATTGAAGACTTTTACCAACTTCTGCAGTCTGAAATTGATCGAACATGCAATCAGGATGCACTGATAATTACGGGTGATTGGAATGCAAAAGTTGGAAACAGAAAAGAAGGATCAGTAGCTGGAAAATATGGCCTTGGTGATAGAAACAATGCTTGAGATCGCAGGGAGATCCACCCAGAGGCACCTCAGAAAAAAGGACTAACGATCTACTTCTGAAAGATCAGCCATTGAAAACCCCACGGAGCACAGTTCTACTCTGACACACATGGAGTTGCCATGAGTGGGAGTCAACTTGACAGCAACAGGTTTGGTTTTGGTTTAGGGAATCATGAAAGAGTTTTCAGCAGTGTCATGAATTGAATTGTGTCCCCCAAAAATATCTGTCGACTTGGCTAGGTCATAATTCCCAGTATTATATGACTGTCTACCATTTTGTAACCTGATGTGATTTCCCTATGTATATTCTATCACTATGATGTAATAAGATGGATTAGTGGCAGTTACAATGATGACGTCTACAAGATTAGATAGTGTCTTAAACTAATCTCTTTTGAGATATAAAAGAGAGAAGCGAGCACAGAGACGTGGGGACCTCATACCACTAAGAAAGCAGCGCCAGGAGCAGAGTGCGTCTTTTGGACCCGAGGTTCCTGCGCTGAGATGCTCCCAGAACAAGGGAAGACTGATGACAAAGACCTTCCTCTAGATCTGACAGAGAAGGCCTTCTCCTAGAGCTGACAGCCTGAATTTGGACTTGTAACCTACTAGACTGTGAGAGAATAAATTTATTTTTGTTGAAGCTATCCACCTGTGGTATTTCTGTTACAGCAGCACTAGATGACTAAGACAAGCAGGATTCTAGTTTAGGAAGATTCCTCTCATGGCATGTCTTAGATGAGGCTGCCTAGGACAAAAGGTTGGGAGAGTGATTCATTGAGGGAGGTGCTCTCAAGAGAAATCTCCGAAAAAAGGAACAAGGGGAGAAGCTAGGCAGAGATGTGTGTTCAGCTGAAATCTGTCAGCCTGATCCCATGGGGAACTGTAGAATGTGAATGACATCTCTGAACTGTATTAGTCAGTCACTGGCCAAGGGCTAACACAGGCACTTCTGGGCACCACAGCTCCCAGTGGACTGAGGTAATTCTCAGGAGCATAGTGAGTTCATAAGCATCCAACATTCACATAAGCTGACATAAGGGTTGCACATCCCTAGCGAAGCAGAACTGGGTAGGCACCATCATGTCTACTATATGGCATTTTGAAGGATGAACCGGAATCATAGGAGATTGAACAATTCTATGTATATATGAAAGATAATACTATCTGAACTTGGATGGTGGCTGAGATAGGCTGAATAATGGCCTTCCAAAGATATCCACATTCAGATTCCCAGAACCTGAGAATATGTTACATTACATGGCAAAAGGGATTTTGCAGATGTGACTAACATTAAAGGTTTTGAAATGGGGGTCTTATCCTGAATTATTCAGGTGGGCCTACACTAATCACCTGATTCCTTAGAGCAAAGAAACTTTTATGGCTGTTTCTCCTCTAGAACCTTCAGAAAGGAACACAGGCCTGCCAACTCCTTGGTTTTAGCTCAGTGAGACTAGCGTTGAGCTTTAACCTACACAACTGTAAGATAATAATTTTGTGTTGTTTTAATTTGTTACAGCAGCAATAGAAGCATAATACAGTGGCTAAGGAAAAGAAAATACAAATGACTAAGGAACTGATAAAATCCTCACAATTTAAAAATAACATGAAATAACATTGTCTCTTACCTTATTTTTTCAATTCAAGTATAATTAATAATTCTTACTACCTTTCGTGGGATTCATAAAATAACTTTAAAGATCACAGTAAAAAATGATTTCAATGAAATTATAAGTTATGAGAGTAAAAGATCTGTATTGTATAAAGGTTATGAAAAATATATCTTTAGTGAACTCCAAATTTGTTAAGAGAAGATTAAAAGAGAGAAGAAATTGTACTTATGTTTAATATTACGTTAAAATCACAGGTGCTAGGTCAATAAAAACTGAAAATCACTCTATTTGACTGTTTTTTTAAAGCTGCTAACCAAAAGGTTGGCAGTTTGAATCTACCAGCCGCTCTTTGGAAACCCTCTGGGGCAGTTCTACTCTGTCCTATAGGGTTGCTACGAGTCGGGATGGACTGGTCAGCACACAACAACAATGCATTGAAAATGCAGGATATTGAACGGTGAGTTTCATGTCCACCAGAGGGTGCTATGGGGATAGGTTTGCCCTCATCCAAGCTTGATTTCCGGGCAGGCAAAGTGTGGTAACTCTCGCTCTGGCGAGCGTTCTGGCTAGCGGGTCTGTGTTGCACCTGACCTGCCTTCGCTTGCCATGGTTTTCCAGAAGCCTGTGTTTCCCCATATTACCTGATAAAACCCAGAACCCATTGCTGCCGAGTGGATTCTGACTCAGAGCGACCCTATAAGACAGAGTAGAACTGCCTGTAGGGTTTCCAAAGCTGTAATCTTTATGGAAGTACACTGCCACATCTTTCTCCCGTGGAGCACCTAGTGGTTTCGAACCACTGTCCTTTTGGTTTGCAGCAGAGTGCTTAACCATTGCGCCACCAGGGCTCCTTGTATTATCTGAGACCCCTCCAAAATTAGGTGTGAGAATGGGAGCTTTTTTTGCACTGACATAAATACTTTTTCAATAAAAGTTTATGAAAACTGTTGTCTTCATTGGTAAAAAGGAAAAACAATAAACGAGCAATACATTTTAACCACATCCACAAAGTCTTAAAAAATTGAAATGTTAGGTAAATAAATAAAAATTAGTAGTGCAGTGCAACTCAATTAAATAAAAATTTCCCTGTGTGCCTGTGCTGGTAAGAAATAAGTGACAGAGAGGAGGATATGATGACTTATTAAAAGAAACTGATATTCAAGAGTACATTCTTGAATTTTAGTTATTTAGTGAATCAGAAATACATTTTCATGATACAAAATTTCTATTCAGAGGGGAAGAATATTAAATTTATTGTTTTCATAAAATAATTATTACATTTTAGTGTATTATTTAAAATATCATGATTTATATCACCATATTTTTGGCAAAATACTTTCTATGGTTTTTTGTTGTTTTTCTATCTATACATCTAGTCATCAAGTCAAATTTCATTACGTTTTCTGTTTAGAGAGATATCTGGACTGATGCTCACCAACTGCTTATGAAGGCAAATATTAAGAAATATTTATTTCCAGGTGATCTTCTCTTTTCCAACTATATATCTGATATAGATTTCTTTTCCCAACCAAAGTAACATAACAGATTGAAGGCAGAAGAAGATATGAAAATCTAGCAGTCATCAGTTAAGCCAGGCATTAAAGAGATTTTCAAAAATGTAAGAAATGAGATTTTCTTTCTAATATTTTTAAATACAGTTTTTTTTAAATAAAAATGCATTATTTCTGTTAACATGCAGCAGATTTATCATTGGTATTTTAAAATGAGTAAACATCAATTTTTTCAGTCTTAACTGCTACCACAGAAAATATTGATAGATATAACTCAAATACACAAAAGTTCCTTGAGACTAAAAATTTAAGAACCTCTGTTCCAATGGTTCCTAAATTTATAACTCTAAATCCAATTTCTACTATGAGCAACAACTCACAGAAACATGTCCAACAGGCAACCCAAAGTAAACAATCCAAAAGAGAACACTTGATTCTATTCCAAACTGCCAAAATTTCTCTTTGCCCAGTTCTTCCCCATTTTGGTAATGGCACCTCTGTTCACTCCTTTGCTCATCTTGCGATCCTAGAAATATCATTGACTGATTTCTTCTACAGTCCTTCACACCCAAACCATTGTCAAGTTCCACTGACATCACCTTTAAAATATACTCCAAATCATACCACTTGTCACCATCTTCACAGCTATTACCCCAACTTTCTCTTGGCGTCTTGGAAAATTTTTTAAAAATTCTTACTAATTAAAGTTTCTAAAGGGTATTTGTAGAAAGGTATAACTGTCTTCCTTATCATTATCTTCCTCCTCCTCATCATCATCCCCACCACGCAGATCCAAATAATTTGCATAATATACTGGTATTAGTTTTCTTTTTTTAATATAGTGATTCAGTTTTCTCTAACCAAATTCTAAAGATCTTGAGTCAAAAGTGTAGGCGAACTTTTTAGATGACTCAGAAACTTTTGAATTTAGACAGTGGACTGAATTCTAAGATCTATATTTTCTGTTTATTAGATATATAGTCAACTTACCTTATCAAGTTCATCTGAAATTGCAATACCTGGGATTCAAAAGAGATGTACAAAAAAAGTTTTAGAAGCAATCTTTAACAACCTAAAGTTAAAAAAAAAAAAGTTCTATTTGTAAAAACAAGTATATTCCCCACTTTTTTTCTTTTTAGTTAGTGTTTTGAAATAATGTGGCACATCCTCTCTAACGATGGAAACAAATTAGGAATTCAAGTAAACCATGACAGCCACAAACTTCTGAAACAATGCAATGTTGCAATGAAAATGAGACAGGAACCATGCTGCTTGCAGGGTGTGAAAGGCAGAGCAAACTCGCAAAGACAACCGTAGAGATGGCGCACTATGGGCTGGACTCTTAAGATGACAATCAAATACAGTTTAGCCTGTTAGGATTTGGATCCTTCTCAACAGTTGATTTAGACCCCTGGAATGATAAAATACAGTGAAACCTGTGAGAGCAGGAACTCGATGGGACTGCCTTGTTTTTCCGGGTCTCGCAAGCTTTCCGCCTTTGACAGGGTGCAGTTCTTACACTTTTCTGTCACTTGTTTTAGTGGAAAATATTTTAGTTTTCCTTCTGTATTACCACAGAAGGGTGGCTGGAGGTCATTTCGTAAAATTCCTTTTTTATGGATGAGGAAACAGACTAGAGCATTTCAGTAATTTGTTCCACAGATTACATTAAATGCTTCTAGAGACAACGGATAAATGATTTTCCCTCACATGTTCCCCTTCTCACTATCCACACGTCCCATCCCTCACTGCACATCAGTCTGATTTCTGTCCTGACCATTCCTCCAAATTGTTCTGTCAGTAATGGACACATTTTTCAGTCTTGATTTTAATTTATTTCTCTCTGACGACTGACTCTGTTAACACCATTCTCTTTCCTGAAATGCTCCCCTCTCTTTTCTACTCTCCTTCCTGTCTCCCTTCCAGTGATCCCTCTTTTTTTTTTCATCCTTTCCTTTCAGGGTTCTTTGTCGAACTGTCTTTTCTTCTCACTTGATATACCTCCCTTAGTAACTTAACTCATACTGTTGCTGTTTTTATCTCCTCATATGTGATGATCAGCAAATCTTTATCACCAGCACAGACCTTCTTCCTCAGCTAGTTGTTGAATTCCTATGGGCATTTCACCGTCAACATGTCAGACTAAAGACGTCATCCTTCTCCCTCTCACTTCCCTTTTTTGGAACAACGCCTAGGGCTTAACATGGGCTCTGTGGCTGGGCGTCTAAAGCAGATGTGGCCAGCCCTCAGGTTTGTGGCAAAGAGGACTTGGTGTCAAAACCCCAGCAAGGGATCGCCAAGAGGCAAAAATAGGTGTAAAGTCTGAAGTCTAAAGGAACATGGAGAAGTAACAACAGGATTTGAAGCCAAAGTTCAATAGACTATAAAAAACAAAAAAGAATAATTTGGGTTGGAAAACAGAACCTGAAAATAGTCTCAAGAAAAGAGTCTACTGCATTCAGGTACTGTCACCTGCTCAGGTACATTTTCTTAACATTAACATATTTTGATAACTTTGCTTAAGAAATTATCTAAATAAATCTCCATTCTATTGTATATAACTCAGCTTTCTTTTATCAATGTCAAATTGCCTAGGGTATTTCTCATTTTTTCTTCTTTTTTAATCAAAGCATCCACTGATTAAAAGCAGTCAAAAGAATTTTAATGAAATGCTTCTCTAAGAAGCATGAAACTCTATTAGGAACAACTTGTATTTTGCAGCCAGGATATTTCTCCTAGAGTCTAAGAAGAACTTTTATAGCTATTCCCTGAGAGGACATTAACTGTTTGGGGGCACTTTATTAACCCTTAAAAGTGTCTTTTCACTCAGCATAATGTTTTCAAGGTTCATCTATGTTGTAGCATGTATCAAGACTTCATTTTTCTTTATGACAGTAATATTCCATTGCATGTATGTACCACATTTTGTTCATCCGTTGATTTGTTGAGGAACATTTAGATTGTTTCCATCTTTCAGCTATTGTGAATAGTGCCACAATGAACAATGGTGGACACATATCTATCTGTGTTTCTGCTTTCAATTCTTTTGGGTGTATACCTAGAAGTGGAATTGCTTAATTGTATGGTAATTCTATGTTTAACTTTTTGAAGAACAGCCAGACTGTTTTCCACAGTGGCAGGATCATTTTAAAATCCCACCAGCAACGGATGAGAATTCCTATTTCTCCACATCTTTGCCAACACCTGTTGTTTTCCTTTTTGTTTGTTTGTTTTTCAAATCATAGCCACTTTAGTGGGGGTGAAGTAATATCTTATTGTGGTTTTGACTGCATTTTCCTAATGATAATTGAGCATCTTTTCATGTATTTATTTGTCATTTGAATATCCTCTTTGGTGAAATTCAAATCCCTTGCCCCTTTTTAAATTGGGTTGTCTTTTTTGTTGTTGATTGTTGGAATCCAAAACTTGGATTCTATATTTATCATAACAATGCCAACTTGTTAATTTTGGAGACTATAGTCTCTTTGGCCAGGTCATGTCACTCAACTCTATATTTCTAGTGCCCAGCACATTGCCTGGCATTTCATGGGTATTTAACAACTATGGGACGGTTCTACTCTGTCCTTAGTGTCGCCATGAGCTGGAATCAGCTCGACAGCAACAGGTTTGTTTTTTGGTTTTAACAATACTTGTGGAATAAATTAATGAGCCTATTGAGAGTCTGAATGTTGGGTTCTTATCCAATGAGCGTTTTCTCTTCTTTGTAAATGTGTTAAGTGTTCAATGTTTTCATCCCAAGTCAGTAAGATTTTGGCTAAAACAGAGTTATATAAGATCTAAGACAACATCTTTCATAAAACTTAACAAAAATAGTAAAAATCATAAAGATTCTTAATACTTTAATTCATACTGCTTGACCGTGGATGACCAAGGAATTATGCATTTACTTCATTTTGATAATACCTAATTTAAATTTTTGGATTTTGACCACAAGGATTTCAGGAAGCTTTCTTGAATGCTTTATTAAAATCATGACATATGACATCCATGGTATTGTTGATACTCGAATGTAATAACTAACAATAGGAAATGAGGTCAATGTATCATAACTTGGCTTTTAGTGATCTTGCTGTTTCCTTGGGTAAACTCCTTAATCCCTCAGTGCTAAACAACGGCCCCATCTGTGAAATGCGGATAAAAAACTGCTATGTTATTGGGTTGTTGTGTGACTGATATAATCCGTATAAGGCATTTAGCATAATGACTGGCACACAGCATATGCTTAACAAATGTGAACTACTCTTATTACCACTTTTATTTGGTCAGTTATGAACCTGCTCAATTGGATGAGTATCCAATAAACTGTGCATTCAACCAGCCAAGTCTGTTTTGAATTTTTACATTTGTTTAGCCAGTTAGTATCCTATAGCCAAAAACTGTAGTTGGCTCCATTTTTATCATACCAATCTTTCTTATTTACTTATTTGTTTTGTTTCTCTGCCTGGAAGAGACAAACAGCTGAGTGTGTTCCTTGAAAGCAGATGCATATGTTGGTTTAAGTTGGTGAAACAGGGCTCGGAAGAGAATGAGGTAGTGATGGCCAGCAGAGGACCTTGTAAATACAGGTCAGGCCAATGCAGAGAAAGTCTGCTGGCTAAGTCATGCGTGTCTCAGTGACTTGTGAAAAATAAATACAGGGGAGTTCTCCATCTGTCAACAGGAGAGTTCAAGCATATGGCCGAATGTCCAGCATTTTTAATGCAGTTGTGTAAATTAATAAAATCTAAAATCCAAAAAACAAAATCATCATGTGTTAGTCTAGCTAAGAATTTTAAAGCTTACAGAAACGGGGGAGCAGCAGTGAACAGAAAAATATACAAGAGAAAATTAGTTATTGGTGGCCTTTTTCTAATGGCCTCCAGGCTATCCAGAAATTGGGTACGACCAGTGGGTAACACACAGTTTTGGTGTGTTGTTCTACAAATATCTAGTCTTCTCTGTTATTATTTGAGCCTTGTCTTAAATGTGTATGTGACTGTGTGTGTGAGAGAGACAGACAGAGAGAGAGTCAGACTCTGGATAAGCTGACAGCTGCAGAGCTGAGATAAACCCATCATTCTGAGGGATGTAAATGGTATTTTGGGTGTCAAGCTCAACTAAATAATATGTATTTCTTAAATGTACAGCATTTTTTAGAAAGCATGATGAAGATAAAGCAAAGGTTAATCTTGCCAGAGAGAATTCTTAACAGACAGTATTAAAATTAGGCGCTTGATGGCTGTGACACTGGGAGAAAGGTCCACGATACGATGAAGACACTGAATATCCCTTCTGACCACATGTAGAGGGAGAGTCTGTCTATACCCCTTGTTTGCCTAGTAATTAAAACAAAGAGTAATAAAATTACCATCAGATCAAACAAAGAGCTACCAACCAGCAGCCATCATGAGTCAAACAAGATCCAACAAGAATTAAGGATATTGTTTCAGGATGATGGAAGAACTAGGTTTGCGATTACATAACTGAACTCTGAAGAACTAGAACACAGCAAAGCTGCATTTCTACTGATTCACACTTAACAATCCCAGGCAGACTGGTAACTTGGTAGTGAACACATTGAGCCTAAGACAAGGACTCAGCATTACAATTCAGATAGCAAAAATCATAGAAACTCAAGTCATTCCAAGAAAGTAGTATTTTGTTCAGAAAAAGACTCTTACACAGAGAAAAGAGTAATCCCTCCCTACATGACCGACTATTCCCTTCCTCCCACGTAAATCCCACTACCATCCCCACAAAAAATAAAGTCCCTTTAAAATTATGTGAAGCCAAAAGCAACCCTCCATCATATTTGTAGAAGCCGAATCTTACACCTTATTCTGGCAAGCTGGTGACTCATCTAGTAGCTTCTTTGGCCCTGACTTTAGCCCAAGACTAATGTCCCATATCTGCATCTCTCCTATGTCAGAAACCTGACAAATGTCTCCTTTGTCAGCAATCTGACTAAGGATTGCTACCAGGACATTCTTATTTCTCCAGGCTCCCCCGCAATTATCAA